AACGGAGCCGTAATCGTGGATCGCCAGGAGAAAGAGGCACGGCAAACATTATTAGTATTGTTATTGCCAGAAAGGGTTAAACCCATTCTTATTTTTTCAGACTTTTTGATACTGCCAAAAAATGTCCCGTAAATATATGAGCAGAAAATAATCACAGGTGTTTATCCTTTTACGGCAATAAAACAAGGCGTTCAGATGCCTGTAACGTCTTGCAGTTCGCCAGAGTTGATTCAAGCAAGGCCGAGTCTGCTGATGAGACACTGCATGTCAAACCGAAATGTCCAGAGTTTGTTTGTGCCGAGGCTATGCTGCTGGAATTGTTCACCCCCAGAAGGCCATTCGCTACATGTCAATACTTTTCTTTATGTTTTGATTGGCAGCTTGCACGTCCTTTGGATATGACCATCCCTCCCTCCCTCCAGCCAGCAAAACTTTTTTTTCTAATACTGGCGAGTATGACTGGAGCTGCCCGCGTATTAGGGGCCGTCCATAAATGACGTCACGCACCTAGGGGGGGGGGGGTCAGATATTTGTGACGATGTGTGAGGAGGGGGGAGGGGGTTGAGAAATGTGACGTCACAACAAAATGCGCAACTTTAAATAAATATAGACAACACGTTCTACTTAATTAAGTCGACTTTTAGATAAATGTTTTCTCCTACAACAGCAGAGTGCAGCGCCACATTAAATACGCACTACAATGACAATAGTTTAAAGCGATTTGAAGCATGTTTTATTTTTTGAGGGGGGGGGGGCAGAGCTTTGTGACGTCATATTTGAGGGGGGGGTCTGACTTTTTCTGACGCCGTGTGACGAGGGGGGGGGGGGTCAAAAATCGTTCAAAATCGCGTGACGTCATTTATGGACGGCCCCTTAATGCGGGATACACGGGGTGGGTGGAGGGTTGGAGGATGGGTGACATCAGCACTCACGAACCCGACTCGTTGCTGTAGAGTGCAGGCGACGCCACCACGCAGCCAGGAAGCCAGCCAGCCAGCAAAACTTTTTAATACTATATCCTATGATAGGAAGGAGACGCGTTGTTTTTTGCGTGTTTATTTCAGGGCAGAACTTCCTCCTGTATGACTTGATAGACAATCAAATAGAGTACATATCATACAAATACGATGACATCGACCTCCCGTATAGCTTGATACAGACTATTCTTAGGTTTCTTCGGTAAAGTCACGTAGGTAAAAAATTAAAATTAATATAAGAAATAATAGAAATAAAATAATAAATCACGACGTTTCGGAGGCAACACAAGCTTCCGTTTTCAGGTGGAACCGTCACAGCACGATAGCTGTATCAAGTGAAACGTCGTGATTTTTATTTTATTTTTATTTTACTTTTATTAATTTGAAATTTTTACCTACGTGACTTTACCGAAAAAAACATAAGAATATGAATCCTTGCAGTCACGAAAGCTTCAAATCTAGAATTGATACAGACTGTTGGGGAAAATGCTTTGAGCGAACACTTATGAAGACCGGAAATGCACACGAGGGGGTGGTCAGCACCACGCCCGTCCACCTTTGTCTCCCTAGTGGCGATGTTTACACACCGCACCAGGTACTAATTTGAGGCTCAGTCGACCTAGGGGAGGCCCAGTATAGCCTGAGACTTTTGGGGCGAGTGCTGTTAGCGAGTAGCACCTATGAAGGCGGGCGCGGTACACGAGGGGGTACGTGGGCCAACACCACGCCCGACCGCCTTTGTCTTCCCAGTGGCGATGTAGCGCGACGTGCTAACCGTTGGGCCACCACTCCCCACCAGACAAAGATCCCCCGTATAGCCCGAACAGACTATTGGGGCAAGTGCTGTTAGCGAGCCCCTATGAAGGCCGACACGGCACACGAGGGGGTGGGTGGCCAACAATACGCCCGGCCGCCTTTATCTCCCCAGTGGCGATGTTTACACACCGCACCAGGTACTCATTTTAGGCCGAGTCGACCTAGGGGAGGCCCAAGACCGGTTCAGATAATCGTCACCGGTGGTGGCCGTGAGTGGGCATCGAACGCGGGTCGCCGGGTTCGTAGCACAGCGTAGCGCTAATCGCTGCGCCACCGCTCCTCACCAGACACAACCACACAGACACACACAGACACACACACAGACACACAGACACACACAGACACACACACAGACACACACAGACACACATACATAGACACACAGACACACACAACAACAACAACCGCCATTCGCCACTAAGTGGCGGTGACGTCACCACGACGCTTGTGCCAGGCCATGTGCACCTTGAGGCCACGTGAAGTGTCGAACGCCCGCTGGCAGGAGGTCACGGGGCAGACCCAGGTGCCACGGGTCGACTGACCGAGATGACCGAGATGACTGGCTGATGTACCACCTGTGCCCCCTACTGTGCCAACTTGCTGTGCTTTAGCCACCCGGCGCTCCGTTCGTTGTTGTGGGCGTCGCTCCTCCGCCCTCCATTGTTGTTGGAGGGCGACTGCCTCCAACTGCCCAGTAGCGTCCTTCACAAGCCTCCTCCACAGAGGCCGATGCTTGACACCGTTGGTACCAGTCATCGGCAAGTCCACTCAGCTCCACGTCCTCCTGTACCACATCACTCCATCTCTTCTCTAGCCCATGCCGCGCCCGTTTAGCCCCCTCGATCCGGCCGAACAAAAGCTGTTTAGGCATGCGGTGGCTGGGCATGCGGGCTACATGACCCAGCCAACGCAGCCTTCCCTGCTGGAGGAGCTCACCGATGGGACTTTGCCCAGATCTTTCAAGGATTTGTGAGCTCCTCACACAATCCAGCCTGGTTAAACCCAGAATGGATCGTAGGCAGGCCAGCCTAAATGTTTCCAACCGGCGAAGATGCTCCATTAGGGGGGTCCACGTTTCGCAAGCGTAGAGAAGGGAGGGAATGACTGTGGCCGAGAAGACCTGAAGCTTCATGCGGAGCGACAGACCACGTAGCTTCCACACAGCATTACATAACCGATGAAAAGATATTGTCGCTCGACTGATTCGGAGTAAGACCTCTGCAGGGAAACTCTCCACTATCTCCACTACTGCCCCATCACCGATTGGGAGTTGTGGGGGTGGAGTGTCCGATGGTACAAAATACCCAGGCAGGTGCTTAGTTTTGGTGGAGCTGATGGTAAGGCCCCACCTCTTAGTGGCACGCTCCAGTCTCAGCAGCAGCGTCTCCAACTCCTCCTCTGAATGAGCAGCTATTACCAAATCATCAGCATACATAACGTGGTTGACCAATAGGGAGCCATCCCTTGATCGCACTCGGGCATCGATCAGCCTCCCATTATATCTGTACCAAATGGAGATTCCCCCGGTACAGCTATTGAAGGCTTCACGAACTACGTGGTCAAAATAGATGTTAAATAATGTGGGAACCAGAGGGCATCCCTGTCGCACCCCAAGGTGTACAGGGACAGGCTCTCACTCCCGGCCACGTAGTTTAACCCGGGCCCGCTCACCATCATGAAGGTCCTTAATGATCGTGAGCAGAGGGTCAGGGACTCCGAAAGCACGAAGAACAACCCAGAGCCCAGGCCTACTGATGGTATCATAGGCCTTAACCAGGTGAATAAAGCAGAGATGTAGGTCTTGTTGAAATTCCCTACACCTCTGCTGTAGCAGACGGACAGAAAATATGGCATCTGTGCAGGACCGCCCTTTCCTGAAACCGCATTGGGGCTCCGCAAGCCTCTCCTCAGCGTGCCTAGCAAGGCGATGTTGAATAATCCTTGCCAGGACCTTTCCCGGTACACTGAGGAGTGAGATGCCCCTGTAGTTGTTACAGTCTGTGCGGTCCCCCTTCTTAAAGAGGGGGACCACCAGGGCATCCTTCCAATCCTGCGGAACCCGTCCAGCGGTCCAGACTATTGTTATGATGTCATATAGGACAGTCTGTGCACAAACGCCACCCTCCCTCAGCATTTCATCTCTGCCCGGTGCCTTTCCTGGTCTCAGACTCCGGATCGCCTTCAGTACTTCCTCAACAGATGGCACCTCAGCCAGCCACTCACAGGGGGTGACCTCTTCCAATATTTGAGGCACCGCAGCCTCAGCAGGGTCATCCACACTTTGTGCCATGATGTTTTCCTGGCTGAGGGATTTCCCTTCCTCCAGGACCTCACAGAAATGCTCAGCAAATCTGCAAACAGACACAGACAGACACACACACACACAGACACACACACAGACACACACACAGACACATAGACACAGACATAGACACACACACAGACACACACACACACAAACACACACAGACACACACAGACACGCACACACAGACACACACACAGACAAGCACACACATACACGCACACAAACACACACACACAGACACACACACACAGACACACGCACACACACGCACACATACACGCACACACACACAGACACACACAGATACACACATACACAGACACACACACACAGACACACACACACAGACACGCACACAGACACACACACACAGACACGCACACACAGACACGCACACACATACACGCACACACACACACGTACACACACGCACACATACACGCACACACACAGACACACACACAGAGACACGCACAGACACACAGACACACAGACACACACACACAGAGACACACAGACACACACACACACACAGACACACAGACACACACACAGACACACACAGACACACACGCACACACACACAGACACACACACACACACACAGACGCACACACACACGCACACATACACGCAGACACACACAGAGAGACACACACACAGACACACACACACAGAGAGACACACACACACGCACACACAGACACACACAGACACACACACAGACACACAGACACACAGACGCACACACACAGACACACACACACAGACACACACAGACACACACACAGACACACACACAGACACACACACACAGACACACAGACACACACACACAGACACAGACACACACAGACACACATACATCATCATCCACTAGCACACCGCGCACCATCGCACAACGGCGCCGCTCTCACTCCGTCCGGCGCTCTCCCCCCACCTCCACCCCCCTCATCCGCATCGCCTTCCCCGTTCCTCCCTCTCACCACTAGCACCGTAGCACGTCGTCACACACACAGGCACACAGACAGGCACACACACACACAGGCAGGCACACACACACAGGCACACACACACGCACCCCCCCCTCTCGGTCTTCGCCATGGCGGACAGGATGAGGAGGTCTTTGCTCGCCGCTCGGTTGCTGCCTCTCCTCTGCGCGTCTTTCTCCCTGCATTGTTGCGCGGGGGGCTCACTCCGCGGTGGTGGGGGGCTCGTCGGCCCGCGCGATGCTCAACAGATCGCCCCCCACAAAGAGGCCGCCGGCCCTGAGATATATTCCCACCGTCGTCTGACTTTTGTCGAAGTGCCAGCAGCAGCAGGAGCAGCAGCAGCAGCATCAGCGCAAAGAGGATCGGCGGCATCATCAGCAGCAGCAGCGGCATCCGCAGCAGCAGCAGCGGCGGGAGCCCGAGGGGAGAAGAGGGTGGAGGAGAGCCATCGACGTGACAGCGTGAACCTGCTGGTCTTCATCCTGCTGCTCATCATCACCATCCTCACCACTTGGCTCTTCAAGCACCGGCGCGTGCGCTACCTGCACGAGAGTGGCTTGGCGCTCATCTACGGTGAGAGACGCGTGGCGATGGTGGTGGTGGTGGTGATGGTGGTGGTGGTGAATGTGATGGTGCTGGTGATGGTGGTGCATGTGATGGTGTTAGTGATGGTGGTGCTGTTGAATGTAATGGTGTTAGTGATGGTGCTGGTGGTGGTGAATGTGGTGGTGTTAGTGATGGTGGTGGTGAATGTGGTGGTAGTGGTGCTGGTGGTGAATGTGATGGTGTGTTCGTGATGTTGCTAGTGATGTGATGATGGTGGTGCTGCTGGTGAGTGTGATGGTCGTGAAGCTGACGATGCTGGGTAGTGGTGCATGCTGGTGCTGCTGGTGCTGATGATGATGATGGTAGCGCTGGTGTTGATGACGCTGGTGCTGATGGCAGTGCAGGCTGACAATGCCGATGATGATGGTGCTACTGGTGATGCCGTCATAGCTACTCGCTCAACAGCACATGCCCCCAATAGTCTGCTAAGGCTATACGGGGGATCTTTCTCTTTGTTTGGTGATTCCGTGTTGACGCTTCGTGTTCATTGTCGGTTCATTGTCGGTGTGCCCACGTGTGTGTGTGTACGTGCGTGTGTTATGGCTGTTCAGAAGAGGACTGTCAGCTGGGGTTGGCATCGTCCCCCACTCCACCTGATGTCGAGGGTAAATGGGCGAGGTTTAGGACTGTGACTCATGCAGCTGCAATGGCTGCTTTGGGTACGCGGTCCAGACCTCCCCAGAAACCCTGGCTGACAGAGGAGGTGTTCAGGTTAATTGAGAAAAAGCGACAGGCCCACTCTCATCGCCTACAGCATCCCACGTCAGAGAATGAGGAGGTTTACCGCAGCCTTCGCTCGGAAGTTCGGAGAGCCGTAAGGCGTTGTAAGGATGGGTGGTGGTCGCGGGTTGCTGAGGAGATGGAGTCTGCCTCAGTGGCCCGTGATCACAAATCACTATTTAACTCCATCAAAAAAGTAACCTGCAGCGCCACACCTATTACCATCATTAGAGGAAAAAACGGTGATCCAATCTCCGACCCCCAGGAACAGGTTTGCAGATTTGCTGAGCATTTCTGTGAGGTCCTGGGGGAGGGAAATTCTCTCAGCCAGGAAAACATCATGGCACAAAGTGGGGATAACCCTGCTGAGGCTGCGGTGCCTCAAATATTGGAAGAGGTCACCCCCTGTGAGTGGCTGGCTGAGGTTCCAGCTGTTGAGGAAGTACTGAGGGCGATCCGGAGTCTGAGACCAGGGAAGGCACCGGGCAGAGATGATCTCCCAAGCGAAATGCTGAGGGAGGGTGGCGTTTGTGCACAGACTGCCCTATATGACATCATAACAACAGTCTGGACCACTGGACGGGTTCCGCAGGACTGGAAGGATGCCCTGGTGGTCCCCCTCTTTAAGAAGGGGGACCGCACAGACTGTAACAACTACAGGGGCATCTCACTCCTCAGTGTGCCGGGTAAGGTCCTGGCAAGGATTATTCAACATCGCCTTGCTAGGCACGCTGAGGAGGGGCTTGCGGAGCCCCAATGCGGTTTCAGGAAAGGGCGGTCCTGCACAGATGCCATATTTTCTGTCCGTCTGCTACAGCAGAGGTGTAGGGAATTCCAAAAAGACCTACATCTCTGCTTTATTGACCTGGTCAAGGCCTATGATACCATCAGTAGGACTGGACTCTGGGTTGTTCTTCGTGCTTTCGGAGTCCCTGACCCTCTGCTCACGATCATTAAGGACCTTCATGATGGTGAGCGGGCCCGGGTAAAACTACGTGGCCGGGAGTCGGAGCCTTTCCCTGTACACCTTGGGGTGCGACAGGGATGTCCTCTGGCTCCCACATTATTTAACATCTATTTTGACCGCGTAGTTCGTGAAGCCTTCAATAGCTGTACCGGGGGAATTTCCGTTTGGTACAGATATAATGGGAGGCTGATCGACGCCCGGGTGCGATCAAGGGATGGCTCCCTATTGGTCAACCACGTTATGTATGCCGATGATTTGGTAATAGCTGCTCATTCAGAAGAGGAGTTGGAGGCGCTGCTGCTGGGACTGGAGCGTGCCACTAAGAGGTGGGGCCTTACCATCAGCCCCACCAAAACCAAGCACCTGCCTGGGTATTTTGTACCATCGGACACTCCACCCCCACAACTCCCAATTGGTGATGGGGCAGTTGTGGAGAGAGTGGAGAGTTTCCCATACCTGGGCAGTGTGCTTATGACCGGCTCCAGTCTATCAGCAGAGGTCTCACTCCGAATCAGTCGAGCGGCAATATCTTTTCATCGGTTGCGTAACGCTGTGTGGAAGCTACCTGGTCTGTCGCTCCGCACGAAGCTTCAGGTCTTCTCGGCCACGGTCATTCCCTCCCTTCTCTACGCTTGCGAGACGTGGACCCCCCTGGTGGAGCATCTTCGCCGGTTGGAAACATTTAGGCTGGCCTGCCTACGATCCATCCTGGGTTTAACCAGGCTGGATTGTGTGAGGAGCTCACAAATCCTTGAAAGATCTGGGCAAAGTCCCATCAGTGAGCTCCTCCGGCAGGCAAGGCTGCGTTGGCTGGGTCATGTAGCCCGCATGCCCAGCCACCGCATGCCTAAACAGCTTTTGTTCGGCCGGATCGAGGGGGCTAGACGGGCGCGGCACGGGCTGGAGAAGAGATGGAGTGATGTGGTACAGGAGGACGTGGAGCTGAGTGGACTTGCCGATGACTGGTACCAGCGGTGTCAAGATCGGCCTCAGTGGAGGAGGCTCGTGAAGGACGCTACTGGGCAGTTGGAGGCAGTCGCCCTCCAACAACAACGGAGGGCGGAGGAGCGACGCTCACAACAACGAGCGGAGCGCCGGGTGGCTAAAGCACAGCAAGTTGGCACAGTAGGGGGCACAGGTGGTGCATCAGCCAGTCATCTCGGTCATCTCGGTCAGTCGACCAGTGGCACCTGGGTCTGCCCCGTGACCTCCTGCCAGCGGGCTTTCGACACTTCACGTGGCCTCAAGGTGCACTTGGCCTGGCACAAGCATCGTGGTGACGTCACCGCCACTTAGTGGCGAATGGCGGTTGTTGTGTTATGGCTGTGTGTGTGGGGAGCGGTGGCGCAGTGGTTAGGGCGCTGCTCTACGCACCCGGCCACCCGAGTTCGATTCCCGCTCACGACCGACAACGGTGACAGCGAATATGTCGAACCGGTCTTGGGCCTCTCCAAGATCGACTCAGCATTCATTGAGTACCTGGTGCGGTGTGTAAACATCGCCACTGAGGAGACAAAGGCGGCCGGGCGTGGTGCTGTCCACCCACCCCCTCGTGTGCCGTGCCCGGCCTTCATAGGTGCTGCTCGCTAACAGCACTTGCCCCTACAGTCTCTTAAGGCTATACGGGGGATCTTTGTTTTTTTGCAGGTTACGGTTATATGCAAGTGTGCACATTGGGAGCGGTGGCGCAGTGGTTTGCGCACTGCTCTCACAATGCCCAACCACCTGTGCTCGACTCCACGCCACGTACAGCATCAGCGTGCAAGCAGTACCACCAGGACACGTCTTCGTGGCCTCCCCTAGGTCTACTCAGCCTTAAGTAAATACCTGCTGCAGTGTGCAGACGTCAGCACTTGGGGAGATACCACGGCGCGGTGCTGGCCACACCAAGCCACCATGCGTCGGCCGGGCCTTAAGGGGCCGTCCATAAATGACGTCACGCACCTAGGTGGGGGGGGGGGGGGTGTCAGACATTTGTGACGATGTGTGACGATGGGGGGGGGGGGGGTTGAGAAATGTGACGTCACATTAAAATGCGCAACTTTAAATAAATATAGACAACACGTTCTACTTAATTAAATAGACTTTTAAATAAATGTCTTCTCCTACAACATCAGAGTGCAGCGCCACATTAAATACGCACTACAATGACAATAGTTTAAAGCGATTTGAAGCAGTTTTATTTTGGGGGGGGGGGGGCAGAGCTCTGTGACGTCATATTTGAGGGGGGGGGTCTGACTTTTTGTGACGCCGTGTGACGAGGGGGGGGGGGGGTCAAAAATCGTCCAAAATCGCGTGACGTCATTTATGGACGGCCACCTAATAGGCGCGCGCTAATTGCATTTTCTCCCTACGGCGTGCCTATGTATGTGGGACTTCTTTCGCACCGTACATAGCCAAACGTACGGCCAATTGCACCCCCCTCCCACCACAACGCGACATTATAACGCCAGTTCACCCAATCTCAGAGGATAGGAGACCGTGTGCCCTATGGGACGTGTAAACTATTTAAACATTTTTTAAAATTTTATTTTACCAGGTGAGGCCCACTGAGCTGTTAAAGCTCTTTGTCAGAAGCGAGCGACCTGGCCACAAATGATAGCCTGACAGAGTGGCTGATCATGCGGACATTTTATTGCAGCCAAATAGTCTCAATGCTTGTCTCTACATGTGGAGGGGAAACCCGGAGGACCCGGAGAAAAATCCATGCGACCACGGGGAGAGGGAGAGACGCAGACTCCGTATATACAGCAGGCGTTAAGGTCGGGATAGAACCCACGACCTCCTGCATACCAGGCGAGGTAGTTAACATCTCGCCACCGCGGCGCGCCAAAAAAAAACAACTCAAGTCGCCTGCTCCTTGTGAATGAATAGGAGTGGAGAAGTGACGTCTCGGCGTCTTGTTACGTCTCTCACTGAGCCCGTGGTTAATTGTACATCTCCAGCCACTCGGAATGGAACACCACCGTTAGAATCCCCGCTCTCGAAACCACGGGGACACGTTTCGCGCGTGATGATTATCAGCTGACGAAGGCAAAAGCCACCTCCTAATCCCGCTTGCGGTCGATTGACTGGCATGCCGTATGTCCCACGTGGTGGATGGGGTAAAGCGTGGCTACTCGCCGCCTTCTCCGACACGTTTGTCCGGCGTGGGGAGAGGAGGCCAAATTCTCCGCGGAGACGCTCTCCGAACGGAGCTTCCTCGTGCCCTTCTTCCGCCAGCAGTGACGTGGGCAGGCAGCTGCAGGGCTGCGGCTCTACCCATGACATAATTACCGGT